GAACACGCCCGTTAGAGTTAATTGGAGGTGGGGAGTTTAAGCCTTTGGCCTGATGTGTTGATGGTACTAATGACGTGTTTATTTCCTGTCCCATGACGCAATTCTTTGATCTTTATTTGGTGCAATTATGACAGCCTTTGTCACAAGTACGACTTCACTTGCTATTTACATGTACAAGCACGCAAACTCAGATCTTCAGCCTATAAAATTGGCTTGTATTTTAACAATTAAAACTGCACAAAATGGGTTGATTTTTAATTCATAATGGATTTAATTTGTAATCTGTACATTAACATGTAAACCAATGCCTTAAAGTTCTTACAATCTCACAACTCCTATGTTTTTCTTTGAATTATATATATACAGTATATATATATATATATAGAGAGAGAGAGAGGCCTATAAAATTGGCTTGTATTTTAACAATTAAAACTGCACAAAATGGGTTGATTTTTAATTCATAATGGATTTAATTTGTAATCTGTACATTAACATGTAAACCAATGCCTTAAAGTTCTTACAATTTCACAACTCCTATGTTTTTCTTTGAATTATATATATATATATATATATATATAGAGAGAGAGAGAGAGAGAGAGAGAGAGACTTTATATCTCACAACTATGACTTTTCTTTTTAGAATTGCAACTTAAAAACTAGCAATTGCAAGTTTACATCTTTTTTTCTCAGAATTACACATTCATATCTTGCAATTCTGAGTGTATTTCTCACAGTTCAGACTTTAAGTGTCAAAATTGCAAGAAAAAAGTTGTGAGTTGTTAGATATAAACTTTTATGCTTTTTTGAATTTTTTTTTGCATTTAAAAGCAATAGGGAGCAAATGGCTGCAATATAACAAAGAGTGAAAAATTTAAGGGCGTCTGAATACTTTCCGTACCCACTGTATATATATATTATGAATACCTTTAAAATGCATTATACATAAAGGCTTAAAAATAATGCATACAGGTTTGGAGCAACATGAACAACTGATGACAGAATTTTGACAACTGATGACAGAATTTCTTTTAGTGAACTATCCCTTTGATGTTTTTCCTCACAGCAAGCGTTGATTTTGTCTTGCTTGTTGTGGGATTATTGTTTTGTAATAATCACAATGTTAGTACATTAAGGTACACAATGCAGCATGAATGCTGTCTAGACAAACTTCTTTGCGTGTTCCAGTGATCTGTGGCCCTCCAGTGGATATGCAGTTTCTTTCACATCTGGCTGCTATTGTTTAGCAGGCTCAAAAAAAAAAAGACTGGGAACTGAAGAGAGATTTGCAGTCTGCCTTTGGCAGAAAGAAGACCTCATATGATTGCCTCCTTTTCTCTTTCTCTCCCTATCTGTCTGTCTCTCTCCATCTTTTTCTTCCTTTCTTTCTCTCTCTGTCCCAGTGGGAGTCTTTCTCCCTTTGCGTACGTCTCCACCAGTGTTCACCATTAGCCAGGCTTTGTGCCAGCACTAGAGGCAGATGGTGACCCTGCTGAGGTCATGAGACCAGCGTTGCTATGCTGGTAACCATGACTGGAGAGAGGAAGTGGCACTGCCTCAGGGACAGCTGGGGTGGTTCCCATGTTCTATCTCTTGTGTCCCCCACCTCTCTCTCTCCCCCCCTCTTTGCATGCTCCATTGGAATGACAAACACCCAGGGGGGTATGATTCCTGAACTCTGTTCAGATCGCTGGCAGATTCCAACCTGAGCTTATCAATGTAGCTTCTGTAGTTTCAAATAACGTTCCACCAAAACATGATCTTCCTACCATATTGATCTCTGAGATGCATGTCACACTGATCATTATACCATAAACATTTATTGCTCAAGAATCATTCAGCGCTTGACATGATGTAAACCTTTTAAGTAAATGCTGTTCTTTTGAGCTTTTTATTCATTCATGTTTCTTGAGCTGCAAATCAGCACATTAGAATGATTTCTGAAGGTGATACCAAAGCTTTGCAATCACAGAAATGCATTTTAAAATGATTTTATTATATTATATGTGACCCTGGACCACAAAACCAGTCATAAGTATCATGGGTATATTTGTAGCAATAGCCAAAAATACATTGTATGGGTCAAAATTATCGATTTTTCTTTTATGCCAAAAATCATTAGGATATTAAGTAAAGATCATGTTCCATGAAGATATTTTGTAAATTTCCTACCGTAAATATATCAAAACTTAATTTTTGATTAGTAATATGCATTGCTAAGAACTTCATTTGGACAACTTTAAAGGCGATTTTTTTTCAATATTTAGATTTTTTTGCACCCTCAGATTCCAGATTTTCAAATAGTTGTATCTCGGCCAAATATTGTCCTATCATATCACTTTCAAAAAATGTACCCTTATGACTGGTTTTGTGGTCCAGGATCACATGTTATATTATGTATCGTATCATATCATATCATATCATATCATATCATAAAAGAGTTATAAATTGTACTAATATTTCACAATGTTACTGTATTTTGCTGCACTTTTCATCGATACATAACAGCATACTAACTAACCATTGAACAGTAGTATATTTATAAAAGTTTCCACATACCTGACTGAATATTTCTCATGGTCTAAAGACCTTTCATGGTTGTTATATTTAAATGCAGTATTTTAATATTTATATAGAAAATAGTTCAAATTCGACAAATATATGTTGTGCCAATACTAATTTCTCTACAAAATTAATATTTTAATTATATTTATGTATTTTTAAGATAGATAAGTTGGACTGGAGAGTGAAGAAAAAGCGGTAAACAAGTGAAGAGTCAATAATATACATTTGTTAAATAAAAACTGTTGCTTACAGCATAATTCCAAGCTTCAATTTTTTTATACTAGTTTTGATTATTTTATCATAATTATAATGTGTAGCTGTTTCCAAGCATAAATATGCATGGAAATAGACCATAAACTAAGTTATACTAAGTATGCAAAATAGTATCAGTTTTTGTTATCTGAAGTTTTCCATTACCTCTTTTCCTCCCCTTTCAATGATAACTTAACAGGCGTTGCATTGCAGTGGGTATGATAATGCTCAAAGCTATGAAGGCTTGCTATTTAACCACTGGCAATATAACCCAGAGGGATGCTGCTTGAAGTCTAGAGTATGGCACCAAAGAGCAGTTAATTGGCAGTTGCCTGGAGCACGGCATATGTCTTATCCCTCATTTCCCTGTAGCCCGCAGCCAGGGAGAAACCAGAAACTGTCAGCCAGCCATGTCCATTAAGTCAATGAGGCTTGATAGCCTGCAGCCAGTCTACTGCTAATGCATTTTAAAGAAACTTGTGTGAGTGTGCTCCATCTTTTGTCAGAGTGACATGCAACAGACACGAGCCTTAGCATGCTAACATGATGCAGGCACGTATTGCATATAGCCGACGTGCAAGAGAAAGTGTACCTCTCATACTACGGCTTTCTTTAAGAAAATGTCCCATTCCCCTAGATAACCTTGGGTCTCCTGGGAGTCAGCACCCTTCCCCCCACCAAATCTCAGTGCTGTGGTTTTTGAAACCTTTGAGAAGCAGAGAGAGCCTTGTATTTTCTCTTAGACACTGTGTCCTGGTCGTGACCCTTGTGCTCAGTGGCCACTTGCAAAAGTCCTGACCACATAAAGGGCCTGCACCTGAAGGGCCTGCTGGAGGCTGATAGGTTTATTTTGCAAATGGTATTGAAAATGTGAAAGGTCATTGACTGTGCTTAGTTGGTTAGGGGTGACATATACAACCATAATGTCAGATGCCACATTTATGACCATAGATAAAACATCTACATCAGAAATGCAGTTTTCATTTCCTAAAATTGTAAAATTCTTCAATAATCTTAAGAATTAAAGGGAAATTAAAATTCTGTCATTAATTACTCACCCTAATGTCGTTCCAAACCCATAAGACCTTCGTTCATCATCAGAACACAAATTAAGATATTTTTGATGAAATCCGAGAGCTTTCTGACCCTGCAAAGACAGCAACAGAACTACCATGTTCAAGGCCCAGAAAGGTAGAAAGGATATCGACAAAATAGCCCGCATGAAAAAATAATATAGTAATTAATAGTAAATACTATAGTGTTTTTTAACCATACTATAGTAAAGTGTATTATACTGTATATATTATATTTACAACACTGTGTTAATGAATGCTACAGCATACTGTAGTATTAACTATAGTGAACTGATAAACTATAATAAATACTGCAGTATACTTTAGATTTTACTACAGTAAACTGTAGTGTATTGTAGTATAATCTACCCTATAGTTGTAGAAATCTTAGCACAGAATTGGGTAATGTGTTTATATTACTATAGTTGTTATATTACAGCGACTATAGAATTACCACAACAGATTAATTCAAGTACTTTACTATGGCTCAAAAACACTATAGTATTTAATATAAATTACTATAGTATTTTTTCTTGTGGGAGTTCATGTGACATCACTGGTTCAACCTTAATTTTATGAAGCTATGAGAATACATTTTGTGTTCAAAGAAAACAAAAATAATGACTTTATTCAACAGTTTCTTCTCTTCGGTGTCAGTCTTCAACGTGTGTTCAGGGGAATAGATGTACAAAGGTTTTACGGGTTTGGAATGACATGAGTAATTAATGACAGAATTTTCATTTTTGAGTGAACTATCGCGTTAAATGGATAGTTCATCAAAAATTGATCCTACTGACTCACGTTCATGTCGTTCTAGACATGTTTGACTTTGTTTCTTCTGTGGAGCTCAAAAGACAATATCTTGAAGAATGTTTTTGCCCATACAATGAAAGTCAGTGGGGTCCAAAACATCATTGGCTTTCATTGTGAGGGAAAAAGCAGCCATTTTTCAAATGATCTTTGTGTTGCACAGTTGAAAAAGAAAGTCATACATGTTTAAAATGACATGAGCGCGAGTAAACAATAGCACAGTTTTCAATTTGAGTGAACTATCCCTTTAAAATGGGCTTTAAGTATCTTTCTCCATACTAATCATGACACATAAACACACAGGTTGCGGGATTCCCACCGAGCTGCCATTCGTGTGATCCAGAGAATGTTCTACTTTGTGGCCAAAAAGAAGTTTCAGGTAAGATTCTCTTTTTTCTGTTTACAAACACAACCAAAATCTAATCAAATTAGCATGATGTTACAGAGTTAGCATGGCATTAGAGTGATAATATGAGCAGAAATGCAGATTCGTTTCTCTTGATTGTAGTGTAAGAGCTATTATGCGATTTTATGGGATATTTGATGATAAAGAAACATCAGTGGCTTTTAAATTCACGTTTCCAGTAAGTAACATTCCTTAATGAATTTCAGTGTAAGCAGAGAATAAGGTGTCTTTTGAAACGTATAGAAGGGAAGATCTTGAGTTGAGACTCATTCAGTAACAGCAGATGCTCTGCCTGAGTCCTTAAAAGGGGTCATATAATGCGATTTCAAGTTTTCCTTTCTCTTTGGAGTGTTACAAGCTCTTGGTGCATAAAGAAGATCTGTAAAGTTGCAAAGACTAAAGTCTCAAATCCAAAGAGATATTCTTTATGAAAGTTAAGAGTCAGCCACACCTACCTAAAATGGCTCGTTCTAACACGCCCCAACATACCTACGTCGCTCTGTGGGAAGATTTGCATAACGCCGCCCAAATGTTCACGCAAAGAAAGAAGGCGTAACTTTTATTCTCGCTGTAGTTTTGTTGTTTCCGCTGCCATGTCATAAAGACGCTGTGTGCTTCGTTGTGAAAGTGAAACTACTTTGTTTGGTCTTCCAAAAGAGGACGATATCTGCTTCGTCGTGCCTGGAGCTGATCCGTCCTGATCGATGAGGAAATACTACAACTTTGCTCTGTCGATCGCCGGATCGGCTTTTAACCGTGGATCAAATACTGTTCTTTTTAGCAGCATCATATGACCCCTTTAAAAATACATGCTAATGTCAGAGGATTACCTTAATAGCTGTCCTACACACTTTCTTCTCCTTTGTGCGATTGTGTGACACTTGATATTCGTTACTGCACTTTGTTTGTCCTTTTTCTTTGCCCTCCCATCCTCTCACCATCCTTTCATTTGAACCGCTATAGCCTCAGTCATCTCTCAATCCCCTTATTTTCTCCCCTCCTCTCACACACACTTGCGACACAGAACACACACTTTGGAGTGTTTGTCAGATGCTGCTGGCTAGATTTGCTGTGTCTGATGTCATGACAGTGTTTACCCTCCTTTGAATGGCTCTAGCTTCTCCTGAATTGTGTAATTTGTTCCGGAGGTGTGTGAACGTTTGGTTATTTCACTGACGTTAATCAAACTGAGCTTAAGTTCTGTAGCAAACGTGGAGCTTCACACATTTTCCCTGTGTTAGTCAAGAAGCTCAAATACATTTAAATAGCCATAAGCATCATCGCCTGTGCTCGATATGCTCTGAGAGCAGTGATTAAGCGTTTGATTGGGATGTACGTTTGGGGTCAGCAGATGAGAATCGGTTTCCTCAAATTTGACAATCAAAAGGAAATATTTCCCCTCTGGGCTGGTTTGATTTTGTAGGCTATGAAGTAAAAAGAGTTCACCCTTCTGATGATTTGATTCTTCAGACTTTATTCATCTAAAGTTTAATTTATATACAGGGCCAACCAGTATAGGGCCCTAGGCAAGACCATATCAAGATTTTATGTTTAAAATGTAGAAATGTATAATGGAAAAAATGTACTTTTTTTTTTTTTTGGTATTTCACTTGAATAGTCGTGCATTGTGACAGTTTAATTATGAAAAGTACAAATGCATTCTCTCAATTAATATGAGGTCAAATTGTAAGAATGATACAATAATTATAAAAATCTTAAAATCATAAAAGCTTAATGTACTATAATAATAAATAAGTTAAATGTATGTTAAATATAAACAGGTCATATGCACATATTTCCTTTTATACAATACCATTCAAAAGTTTGGGGTCAGTAATTTTTGTTCTTTTATTCAGCAAGGGTGCATTCAATTGATCAAAAAAGTGACTGTAAAAACATCTATAAAGATTTCTGTTTCAAGTCAATGCTGAGCATACTATTCAACTATTCATTAAATAATACTGAAATAAATGTCTGTGTGTATGTATGTGTATAGTCTTTTTCCAGTAATGTTAAAAATGTACAGACCCAAAACCCTGGAATAGTATATTATTAAATATTACTATTTCATTATAATTAAAATATTATATAATTTTGGCTGTTTTTGCAGCAAGCACGTAAGCCGTATGATGTGAGGGATGTCATTGAGCAGTATTCACAGGGTCATCTCAACGTCATGGTGCGCATCAAGGAGCTACAGAGAAGGTGGGATGAGGACTCACTATATCACTTAGTAGCAGTTAAGTGTGTGTTGAGAAAAGTCTTTACTTTATCATGGCTACACATGGATGGCATTTTATAGGTAGAATAGCTAAATGAATGACTGTTTCATGACCTTTGGGTAAATAAAGCTGAGAAGTTAAGAGTACATCCATCCCTGTCACTATTCCTCTCACATTTCATCTGCCATTTCTGTACATCAACATTTCCCATGCTGCACACTTGGCCCTGACAGACTGGATCAGTCCTTAGGGAAGCTGTCCCTCTTCCAGACAAGTTCAGGTAAAGCTAGGTCATTCATTACCCTCTCTCCTCTCTCATTCCTCAACCCCACACATTGTTTTGCTACAGTTTGACCCCTTCGTTGTTCTTAATGTTGGTGTTTATTGTTGTCTTGTAGTCTTAGTGCACAGTCGTGTTTATGCAGCGTTTTTATGATGTTTTTCTTGGCACCATTTTTGTCTCTTTTAGAGCGCATGAAAGACAAAGGCATACACACTATTGGCTCCAGACTCAACAGGATGGAAGAGAAGGTAAGCGCTTGAATATTACTGGACATTTATAGCATTTTTGTGTTGTAAAAATACAGGGAAAACTTTATAACTATTGAGGGTTCAAGTTTCTGAAATATCTTTTCAGTTAATACCACCTGCTTTTGAATTTTACTGCGCAATAAACTCAGAAACCAAGCATTTCCAAGAGGTTACTCATTAGTATAACAATACCAAGTTCCAGTTCTTTAGTTTATTAGCAAATGCACACAGCACAATTGGTTCAGCAAGGACTCTACTGATAAGGATCTGTAAGCTTCATTCATCAAGCCTTAACCTGGAGACAGAAGGAACCTCTCTCTTTCTCTGCCTTCAATCAAACATCACTTTTTGAAGACTTCTCAAACATTCTCTGTGAGTGATGTGTGCTGATAAGGGTGTTAAGACTGTGTGTGTGTGTGTGTGTGTGTGTGTGTGTGTGTGTGTGTGTGTGTAAAAGTGAGAGGTATGTTGGCCTCTCAGAATGACGGGGATTCAGGAGCTGTACAAACACTCACTCTGCTCCTGTTCATTTGCCACTCCAGCCATAAATCCTTTTACAAACAGCTCTCATCCCAGACACAAACTCGAAACAACATGCACACTTGTTCACATGATCTCTCTCTCACATACTCACTCTCTTTCTCCCTCTTTGTCTCTCGTAGATGTTTGAGTAAGAAGCAAATTGACTCATTTTCTGAAATGCCTGAAAAAAGCCAGTTCGACATGTTTTAAATTCTTTACTGAGAATGTTTAGAAAAGCATTGTAAGAGGAATTAGATCATTTTTACGGGTTTCATAGCTGACATATCTTTAGGGAGAGATGACATCTTTTTTCAATTGTGCTGCCTTTTATTTGTTTATATTAAAAATTAAAAAAGTAGATGACTTTAGGATTGTTTGATCTCATTGGCTCGCTTTTGTAATGTTAGGCACATTTCTGTGGCAATACTAGTGACTGATGCATTGAGTAGCCAAATTAAGTGTTTCCCAGCAGGACACGCCATCTTTAACTTTTTTTTTTTGTAAAGAACTGTTTGAAAATGTGTCATTAGTTGTAGAACAGGATACCCTGCCCCTTACAGTGTCATTCTTCTTCCCATAATTCTGAGGTAAACAGGAAGCAGGCAGTGTCTGGCATAAACAGGAACAAATAGCCTTAACATTTATGCAAACACCCATCTGAAGTAACTCATTACTGCATTGCTGACACAGTCTTCTTCTTACACTCTGACTGAACTCTCTTCACATTTAGGGCATTTGTATGTTGGCAAACAGTCCTTTTTTAATATTTATTTTTTGTTTTTCATTTAATCATATACACTACTGTTTAAAAATTTGGGGTTAACATTTTTTTTAATGTTATAAAAACTTTTTTTTTTTTTTTATTATGAAAAATACAGTAAATATACAGTAATATAGGAGTAATATAGTAATATTACAATTTAAAATAATTTTCTATTTTAATATATTTTATAATGCAATTTATTCTTGTGATGACAACGCTGAATTTTCAGCGGCCATTATTCAAGGAACAAGGAACATTTCTTATAATTATCAATATTGAAACCAGTACTGCTTAATATTATTGTGGAAACCATGGCACATTTTTCTTTCTTTCTCTGAATTCTTTCAGGATGATTAGAAAGTTTAAAACAAAAAATACTTATTTGAACAGCATTATTTGAACAGAATTGTATTATTTGACCAGAAAAACCATTGAATTATAAATCTTTTGTTACATTATACATATCTTTAGTCACTGAATAAGACTTAATTTTATTAAGTTTATCGTTTATATGTTTTTATGGATTATTATTTAAAATACATTTAATCTGTTTATTCAGACTACTAAAATACTTTATATTGTTCTCACAATTAAAGATATTTCCCCATCAAATTTCAAGTTTATAATATTTAATAGAGAATAGTTCTATGGTTTAGGGGTGAAATAGTAAATGTGATCTTTTATAGTATTATGAAAACTTGTATGTGAGTGTAAATAAATGATGACCGAATTTCCCTTTTAAGCTTCGACTCAAGATCTTGTTTTTCTCTGTGGTTAGCAGTGTGCATGTTTGCATTCATGTCTATATGGGGAACGGCTGTATATGTTTATGTGCTCGAATCTCCTGCCACACTCTGTATGGTGTGGTGTGTTTGTGCATGTGTGCATGTGTTTGTATGTGACTGTGGTGCCACTATCATTGTGTAAACTGTGGTTCAGCACGGAGACACTCGTCTGGTTATTTCTAATGGGGTGTAGACAGCACTGGCTCCACACGTCACTTAGCCTCACCCCAAGGGAAAGAACCTCAAGACATTTGGCTCCCCAACTGTAAAATGAAGAATAACAAGTATTTATCTGACAGTTTTCTTCCTCTCAAACATGAATCCCTTTAAATATTTAACAAGAATCCCCACTGGTATTGATGTATGTTGTTTTTCATGCACATATATATAACAAACTGCTCTTAGATATTCTAAAAAAAAATTTTTTTTTTTTTTTAATTACAAATAAAACTAAGATTACCACTGTACAAAATACTATTTTCAGTCTTTGTACTTCAAAATATCACATTTAAATCAGTGTTACTTGTGGTTCTTTTTCATTTAATTTTTTCAGTGCATGTTTCAAAATAGTTTATGAAAATATCAGATGGTATCACCAAAATGGCCCTATATTTCAATTTAAATAAATAACTATAGTCCTGACTATAAATAGTTTCCACTCAATTCGCTTTTAACAAATTAGTGTGGCCTAATCTACTCATGTTTCGACTATTCATCATCACCTAATTGATCAAACTTTAATCCCATTTACAACATATAAAAGAAGGGATTTATTGCCTTTTCTAGTCTCTCTATACAGATGGGATCTTTTATCAGTCGCTGGTGTTTTATATCTTGTATTGACAGTTTGACTCGTTTATGACATTATTTACACAGACGCTGTGACTACGTTATTTTAGACACTGTTTTGAAAGATGTGTTGAGACCACACACTCGTTTCCCCACAGATCACACACATGGACAGAACACTGAACAGCATCGCAGAATCTCTCAACCTCATGTTGGCAAGGGAGAGACGGGGAGATCTGGCCAGAGGGAAGGAACTGCGCAGCAGCTTCCACCGCCAATCAGCCACCTTCAGCCTTTCAGTGCCGAGCAGACAGGACAGCCTGACCAGCTCTGAGCAACTGTCCACACCAACTGTTATTCATGAGGACAGCTGAGACGCTAAAGCAGCACTAAACCACAGAGTGCCTAATACTGGGGCAGTTTCAGATAGAATTAATATAAGAGATCAGGTTTGCTCAGGTTCAGCATCAGCTGGTTTTAAGATATCTTCTTGTCTGACTAATCCTGTTCATCTTTATATTTTTTCAGACAGTTGAATTTCTTTTGAAGCAACAAGACGTGTATACATATGTGACCCTGGACCACAAAACCAGTCTTAAGTCACTTGGGTATATTTTTAGCAATAGCCAAAAAAAAACATTGTATGGGTCAAAATTATTGATTTTTTTTAATGCCAAAAATCATTAGGATATTAAGTAAAGATCATGTTCCATGAAGATATGTTGTAAATTTCCTACCGTAAATATATAAAAACTTAATTTTTGATTAGTAATATGCATTGCTAAGAACTTCATT